GAGAATAATGTCAGTTTCCATCTCTTTCAAGTACCCCACATCAAGTCTCTCCATGTTCTCAAATAATCCAATCATTTTAAGCACATGAGGGCTGACGGGCTCTCCTTTCTTGAGCTTGCTCTCAAGGATTTGCCTATGGGTCTCAAACCTCTCAGTTCGGGCCTACTCTTGGAACATATTCTGAAGTCCAGATATGATTTCAAAAGTCGTCTCCTTCTCAAAGAAAGTATTTTGGAGATCAGGAGACATTGTGCCCAACATGATGCATTTAACATCCCGATTGGCAGCGTGCCATCGGTTTAGGGCAGCCTGAGTGACCTCCTCATTAGAAGTGTCGGGCATTTCCTTATCAAAGACGTATTCCTTTTTCTCTTGCATGAGAACTATACGCAAGTTCCTTTTCCAATCAAGGAAGTTTGGCCCACTTAATTTCTCCTTGTCGAGAATTGAGCGTAACGAAAATTGGTTGTTGTTGATGTTAGTTGCAGAAATTTTTCTACAAACGAAAGAATTTGCAATGAAAAACCATTCTTAAAACCGATAAGAAAGAAATTTAAAGCATACATGCAAGCTTTCAATCTTATTAAGCGTTTTATCCACAAATTTAAAATTGTCCCTTTCAAGCGAGAATAAAACGATTCCAAGACCCTAAAAATCAAAAAGTGATTAAACATGCTTTGGCTTATCTTAACACTCAATATTTTAAGGTAAGCAATCCAATTGCTAATAGCTCTAAGCTATTCGTTGTTCGATAAAACGTCGCATCTAATGCTTTCTTGACGTTTATCTCCATTGCCACAACATCTAAGGACTCCTTACTGATATCGTTGAGTTTAACCAAAACTAACGCAAATACCTAGTATACCTTACGTCCCTAGGAAAGTAGTAATGCCTTGCTTTGGCATAGCCCATTACTATTGTCACTAATACGGTAAGTGTCATTTTGGAATGGAAAATTTTAACTCAATATTATAGGGACTTAGGGTTTCTATGTTGGTTAATTTAAGTGAACTAAACTAATCATTCAACATTCGAAATCCTTAACATGCATCCAATATAGCAATTATATATAAGCAAAATATCTAAGGCATAAATAGAGATGCATTTGGCAACTAGCATGACCCCTTGAAACTTGAATCTTCAAATCTTCAAGGCCTTCATTGCATCTTCTTGGCTTTTTCTTCTTAGAAACGCCGTCTTCGAGACATCACCACCAATTATGCAACTACTAGAAAAGGTAAGACTAATCTAAATAATTTAAGTACAAAAATACTTAAAGGCACGCAGTCTATATTTAGATTTACAAAAATACATAATGGAACGCAGTCCGTATTTACTATTCTAGTCAGGCCCCGCTAGTTGCCAATTTGCAAAACCTGCATTAGAATATTTATTCCATTCATCCATTCACTTCAAAATGAATGACCCATGCATTTTACAAATAATTCAAGCAACAATTCAAAACGAGTGCAAACTAGTAACTAACTTTGGTGGTTAATCCAATTAACGCGCCTAATTAAAATTAGTCAGAGTAATCCGATTATGTGAATTAACGCAATAATAATAGTTCAAAACGATTAATGAAGCTCCCACTAAATTTACATCCAACTTAATTAAAATTAATCCAATTAAAATTAATTAAGCAGGTTAACCAAAAATTTTGCCAGATAATTTTGCAAGTACCGGGAAAAACCGAGGCCTAGCCTCGTTTTAAATAAAACACAAAATTGCAATATCCGATGCCAAGTGCCAAGCCCCGAGCCAAAAGGCCTAGGGATTGGCAAGGCACCAAGCATGGCTCGCAAGGTCGGCCTCACGCACGTGGCCTACGCACCAAGGCTGCCTTGGCGCGCGCCACTGCTAGCCACATTAGCTGCCCAGCAGTGCCAGGCCTTACGGCATGGTGCGAGTGCTCGCCCCCAGCCGAGCAGCATTTGCTAGGTACTCCCGTGGGCATCCTAGCAGCGTCCCTACCCCGTAGCTTAAACGCGACTAGACCAAAAATAACATAGAGTTTACGAACTAAGGTTTTCTCGCTTTTGGAGATCCCTTAGAGTTCACCAACTCAAGTGAAAATCCTAATACCCAATGATTGGTATTCATAGGGAAATATCCCCAGATTTCCCATCATCTTTCAATGTGGGATAGTTGATAAAATGCCAAAAGAAAGAATTAATTTAATTCTAAATTAAATTAAAATGGTAAGGCAATCATCAAACAACAAGTGGCACAAGGAGAGAAAGGGGTTAGGTGAGGACCACAAGGGGAGGACCACCTTCTCCTTGCTCCCCAAGAAAACCGCCCTTCACAAAACTGGTGCAATAGGAGGCGGCTAGCTGGCAGCCCGCCTTGGGCACCAAGGCAGCCATGTTGGCGCCTGGTCCCTCGGCTGGGCCTGCCCAGCTAGGCCTTCTCAGACCAGCCCGCGCTAGCAAGCCTCGCTAGCGTATGCGGGCTGCTAGCAATGGGTGCGGCCTTGCTGCGAGCTCTCACATGCTGGCAGGCTGCTGCTTGCTTGCGGCATGGCTTGCCAGCCCAGCCACGCATTGATGCGTGCTGGTGCTAGCGTGCGGTCAGCTGAGCGTGCAAGCCCGCATGCATGCTCGGCCTAGACGGCACGCCTTGCCCGCATGGTTTGCTCTGCAAGCTCGCCTAGCCATGCGTACGATGCATGCTGAGCTTGCGGCCAAGCCTTACCTTGCGACAAGGACTTCGGCTAGTCATGCTAGCCCACCTAGCATCGAAGAGGCTAGGATTTTCACACACGTTGACTCTTTGTTGGACTGATATTTTCGTCTCGTCGATTCCTAAATTCGACTCGACTTTCGACCCTCGACTTCGACGCTCTAAGCTCGGAATCCGACGCCTTAGTTCGTAAAATCTCTATTGACTCATTTAATCCTTTGGATTAATTTGTCGCTTTGGTTCGATTACACAATTGGGTGTGACCCGAAGGGTTCAGTCAAGAGCAAGTTGTAATATTAATTATTCATTAATATTACTGACCAAAAGCGACCTCCAGCTAGGCATTCCGATCACTTGACCTCATTGAATTATTAGCTTTCCTAATTAATTCCGAACCCTCTATCAGAATAATACACTTGTTTGAAGGATACCATTCCTTTCAATCCAATTGTAATAGGGAAATCTTTTGTCAACCCTCCACATGTCCTCACATTTGTTGACACATCTCGATACATATCCTTAACCAAATTCACGTACCTTCGTGGGATACCTTCTTCAACATTGCCCACCAAAGTACCTCTCTTGGCACATTGACATATGCCTTCTCTAAATCGATAAATACCATATGAAGATCCTTCTTCTTTACCCTATAAAACTCCATCATTTGTCTTATCAAATGGATTGCTTCCATAATAAATCTCCGAGGCATAAAACTAAATTGGTTATCTGAAATGCTTGTGCATGCCCTCAACCTGTGTTCAATCACTCTTTCCCCTAACTTAATAGTGTGGCTCATAAGCTTGATCCCTCGATAGTTAGAACAATCTTGAGCGTCTACTTTATTTTTATACACCGGGACCAAGGTGCTCTTCCTCCAATCTTGAGGAATCCTTGTAGCCCTCCATCCTGCTAAAGAAATCTATTAACCAATTAATATCAATCTTACCCCAACACCTCCACACCTCTATCGATATACCATCAAGGCCAACCGGCTTCTTAGGCTTCATCTTCCTCAGTGCAATCTCCACCTCTACTCTCCCAATCCCACCCTCAATTCCCACATACCAAACACCCCCAAAGAGATAGAAAGAAACAACCACTTGGGGCATTCTTCCTTCCTACCAATTTTTTTTTAATTTATTTATTTATTTAATTTTTTTTTTCTTAAAACACCGACACACCATCAATCCATCATTAAGTGAAAGGGAATATGAGAGTACATACGGGGCGATGTCAAGGGGACAGTGATTCATTCCTACAATATCTTGAATGATACTTATATTCTGTCTTCTTGATTCATTCCTTTTTTTTTTTTTTTTTTTTTTTTTTAATTTGATTGGTCCCTTAACTTTCCAATGGATTCCTTATTGTAGTTGAAAGGTTTTCCATAATCTTATTGGTCAACATAGATTAATTAAGTGCAAGATTTAAAATATTGATTTATTTAGAAGTTTTTTAAAGAAATTTTTTTTTTTTAAAAAAAAAAAAAAAGACCTAGCAATGTCCCATGTGTACTTCGTGGCGAAGTTGAATTTTAACTTAGACCATGTTTTACACACCTTGTTTAGAGTACTTGATTTGATCTAAATTTATTTTTTCTAATGTAATCAAATCCCAACTTATTACTCTTAATCTGAGCTGATTGTTTTATTTTATCAAACTTTAACCTTATGTGTATGCTAATTTAAGAAAAATATATCAAATGAGATATGGTTAGATTCATAATAAGGTTTATTTCAATAATATATAATTTTCATTATATAATTAAAGAAATTTAACAATAAAAAAATTACACATAAAATAATAAATTAAGTTCTAAACATATTTTTCCTGATATCATTTCTTTTTTTTATTTATTTATTTAATTTTTTTTTATTCAGATCTAATATGATATATAAGTAATAAGGTATTAAAATAAAGTGAACTAAGCATGGCTTAGTCCATTATAAATGCAACCAAGCTGAGTTTTCATTTTATTAATCTACAAAAATGATTTCAAACACGAAGGTCATTGTTAATGGAGTACTATTTTAATCTACGTTAATGATTTCAAGTACATAGGTCATTGTTAATGGAGTACTATTTTATCATGTTTTATTTAAACTTATCAACTCTTGTATGAGTTAATTAAGCCTTTGTTTTCTCTTATTTGAAATTTTCATTACTTATTAGCCTTTGTTTTCTCTTATATTGTCTTTATTGATCTGAAAATGTTAAACCTGAAATAAGTGGGAAAAAGGTGAAATGAATAGAGCCTAAGTCGGTTCCATACACGAAACATGAAAATTAAGGCAGCTAACAGATTTACGCATAAATGAGAGTAAAGTTTGCATCTTCACATATAAGGATCACGTTATAAATTATCAATTACATTATATTAATTGTCACAACATCTTGCTCTATATATTTATAAGAAGGCAGCAAGGCAGTGCCTGCTTTCAGGTCCTGAAATGATTTTTTTGGCAACAAAATTGCCGGAGGAGGCAAAAGAAGTGAGGGAACAAACAGAAACTCCCAATCATACCACGCCCTAAAGCTGGGCTGGGAAGCATGTTCCATGTATTGGATAGTGCAAAAGAAAGGCGCGAATCAAGGTCCATGTACAAAAGGGAATGACAACGTACAAGGACCAGTCCTAATCATATTCGGGAAGAAGAAAGATAGAAGGGGATAGGACTTTGTTCAATGGATGAGTATTTCTTGTTTTCCCTTATTATTATGAGAATATGGGACTACATGATGGCTTATTCAAGAAAGAAAAAAGGATGGCCATCGCCATTCTATGAACACAGATGTGGACAGTTGTGTGTGCAAGTGTGAATTGTGGATAAGGGGCAGGAGATAGACATCCTGCCTCGGGTTTGTTCAAAAGAATATTTCTGATGGTTCCTGAAATTTCATCTACAAAAGCAAAAATGAGGAAAATGAGCATTTCCTGTTTGGTGCTTAGCTTGGAGCACCTCCATCACCAGGACCTCCTTTACTCCCAGTGGAAGTAGTAGAGCTCTGACTAGACTGCTGGAGACCAGAGTGAGATATGGACCCACTTTTTGACAATACAGAGCCACCTGAACCGCTTGATATGCTCACAGAGGATGACAAGGCAGAAGCAGATTCTTTGTTGGACCCTGAAAGTACTTCAGCTCGCAAATCTGAGGATGAGGATGATGGAGCAAGAGTTCCAATAGAAGATCCAACAGGATAGGGAGCTACTGGCATATCCGAAAGAGAAGATGCAGAAGGGCTGTAACTTAGATTTCCCATTGGATGATCAAACTTGCATGTTGAACCAAACTTGCATACTCCATGTTGTGCAAAGTAACTACAAGTTGAAGTACCCTGTAAAATAAAAGTAGATTTACATATTTCCAGAATTCACAAACAACTTAAATGAATTTGTTTTTAAGAAACGACCAATCAACAAGTCCAGACCATCTAGTTTGAATATAGTATACAAAACAGAAATGCGGAATCGCATGCAATTCAAAGTAAGAACATAAGGAGTTTTTCGAAAAGGAAAGGGCCTATTGGTAAATTATGCATGCATCTGTTAATTCATCACTAACAAAAAGTTGTACTCAGAATCCATTAATATACTCATTGCCCAGTTTTATTTTCATTCAACCATAACTCTAACCTATGCTACTTAATCATCAGAAATCCTATCCTATTCCATTAACAAGCAAGAAACAGGATGCTCAAAGATAGTTAATCTTGGTCTATATTGCCCCACCACCCATCTTCCCTGACTCCTCAACCACAAACAACAGCAACAACAACAACAAAGCCTTCTTACCAAAATGATTTGAAAAGGTTAACATCAATCTTCATAAGGGACCGTCCGCAAATAATGGAACAAAGAAATAGATACTATGAAATGTACAAAAATCCAAGAAAATACAGTGGCCGAAAAACGAGGGCAGCATAAAGTGAAAACCCAAAAGGAGGATAAAAAATTGAATTTGAGAAAGTTTAATGACAGAGTAAAGGGGGATAAAATGCAAGTAAGAACACAAATAATTTATCTTTAAAAAAATAAAAAATAAATAAAACCCAAAGTAGAGTTTGCAAAAGTGCAAAACACAATAAGTGCAAGTAAAAAAAAGAAGAAAATAAAAGCCCTACTACGAAATTGAAATAAACATGGTCAAATCCTACAGTCCTTTAAACAATCATTATTATAACAGCCGTTTGTAAGTCTAAAAATAAGAGCAGAAGAATGAAACAAAGAGTATACATAGTTAAATAAAGGAAAAGAGTATTGACAGGCCAAAAATCTTTCTATCAATCTTCTCAATAGAAACCCTAGAGTCTCTTCCAGTCCATATTCAACTAAATTTTGCCAGAGACAATAAGAATATGATAGATAACAGAAATAATAACATGACCTAATTAGGTCACTTATCAAATTTAATGGAGAGCTTAGTTGGTCAGGCAAGTAGCAACTCGACTCAAGATCAAACTAAGCTTGTAGAACTTAATAAAAAGCAACAAGTTTTCATGAAAATAATACTATAGGTGTGCTAATGGTTTTTTTTTTTTTTTTTTTTTTTTTTTGAAATATATTGTAAGTATGTAAGATCTATAAATTAAAAAAAATATTGTACCAAACATAATAATAACCATCATAAAGTTGAGTACTCAAATTTTTCGCCGAGCAAGGAAAGGTTAACATCACTTTTAAGATTGCAAATCTCAGTTGAGGTTGGGCACAACAGCACACTCAAGTCAAGTTTTAACTGAGCTGAACTTTCGAAGCTATGCAAGTAGGCACTGCAATAAGTTACCCCCTACTTACCTCAAGTAATTACACAATTCCCATACAATCATGCTACAGTTCTATTAAGGTTTGAGAATAAATTTAACCATGCCACTGTCAAAGAGATGTAAATTTTGAATAGAAAAAGTGGATGTGAGAAAATATGTGAATCATTTTGGTTAATTTTTGTATCAAATTATAAAAATAAAAAAAAAAAAAAAAAATCAAAGTTATGAAAAGCAACATAATTTTAACACTGTCTATATATCTTTCTATCAATATAATTTTCTGCTTTAATTATTACGTTGCTGACATATAATTGAGAAAACTACACAAGTGACTTCATCAAAAAAGTAAAATAATAATGTGAAAAGTTTAGAAGAAAGAGTCCAGAAAGAGAAATATTACAGGCTTCCCTTTAGCACCTTTGGGAGTAGGAATTGAACTCATTTTCTCTACTAAACAAGGTTGTATTGATAACTACCATATACAGAGAGCCAAAAAAAGTAATTAAATTCACAAGGCCTCAGTTCTATACGACTAGGATGTCCTAACTTCCTCCACTCGTTCACTGAATAGATGGAAGTGAAATAACTAAATACTCAACAAGACATATCTGCATTAAATATGAAGAACAAGAAGAGAGAATACTATGTTGACTACGAAAATTCAGGCACACTAAAAGGCTACGTAATTCAATAATCCCCCAAGAACATTGATCAGTAATATGTGTATATGTACAAGCGAATGTTACACTTTTGGGCTAATTCAATCGAATCTTATACGCGAATTAGAGAACACTGCTTTAAACAAAAGGAATGAAAACAGCTGCCAATGGCATACTAATAACAAATAACTTAACAATATTAAATTAAAAAATTTAACATTTACGTTCTATTCAGGCCCCACAGTAGATCATTTTAAATCAAATCCAGACAATAATTTCCACGCCTCTGTATTTATCAATGTCACAAAAAGAATGTAAGCCTAAAAAGAATTGATTAATATATTATTACCACATGCTTTGAAAAGGAAACTGCAAGAACACTAGATTTATACCCGTGCGATGCACGGATTTTATTCATAGTTAAACTTAACATTTAATATTTAATCGAAATAACAAAATATTAATACATAATATTACTATTTTTTTAATCTTATACAATTAAGGTTCACACATATACAAAACAAACTTCTAAATTATGATTCATGTTCATCGCATTCAAGAATTTCATGGTGTTCAAATTCTAAAATATGCTTCTTTGCCTGCAAAAGTTTTAAGTTTATTTGTGTGGAACATTAGATGAGTTTATATAAGATTGAAAAAATATTGGATTTAAGGTGATGATAAAGTTTATTAGATATGATAAATTTTATTAACTTAGAAATTAATCTTTTAGCCGAATAAATTGATAAATGATGAACCATTTTTTTTTTTTTTGTGTGCTGGAAAAAAAGAAAGGATATATTTTTAGTTTCAATGATTTTTTCTTATTTTTAGTATCTAATCCAAAACTTATATTTTTTATAATTGAACGTGATTTCATAAATTTTTTATTGGTATTTTTTTAAAAAAAAATATATTTTATTATAATCATTTATCATATTTTATTTTTTTTATCTAATCCAACCTCTATTTTTTTAAATCAATTGATAGAGGTTATTAAATGGATCTGGTTCACACTAATTTATTATGGACCACTAACATTAGAGACACTATGATTGTTTTATTAATAACAAAAAAAGTCACTATATTAAAATAAAGGTTATTATGTTGAAATAAAAGTCATTGTAAGTTTGTGACAAGCTATAAGAGGTTTTTTTTTTTAATGAAAATTTTAATTTACGAGTTAATATGAATAATAAAAGTCACTATGTTAAAATTAGGGTTATATGTTCAATTTAACATCGTACTTAAGGTTCACACTAACATTAAAGGCAAACAAGTTTTAAAGGTTACTATATTATGTTAAAAATAAGGTTACTATTTAAAATTAGGGTTACTATGTTCAATATAGCATTAGTTGCGTGTACATAAACCTTAGGTCAGTCCACGCAAGATTTTTCTGATAAATTGAACGTGAATTTTTTTTTTTAAGTTTAATAGTATTTTTGTATATATACGAAATAAAATAAATTGTTTCTTTTCTATTAGATAAAATTTTCAATTGTAAATGATAATATTTTATTTTTATAACAAATTTAAACCTTTAAATTTAATCCTACGTGACGCTTTAAAATAATAATCCTATGTGGCATAATCCAATACGTAACGCTCTAAAAATACTAATCTTACATGGCGCTCTAATAATTTTTAAAAAATTAAAATCTTACATGGCTCTCTAAAAACTCGGGAAAAATCTACCCTTTATATATATACTAGTTTTGTGCCTGGGTGATGCCCGGATTGTCCTAAAGCTTTTAACTTGAATGTTAAATACGATCATATAACCCCTTTTGATAATGTAAGAATGTTAAATACGATAATATAACCCTTTTTAATAATGTAAAATATTTAGACATACGATATCGTATCGCTTATTTATATTATAGTGTACTTTTTGTAGTTTTATTTGTAAATAGATATCTATGTTATTAGTTTACCAAACTAAAATTATTTTAACTGATTAAAACTTATTTTTACTAATTTTCAATTTTTTACTAAAACATATTATAAATGGATCTCATTTTAAAGAACTTTTTAAAACGAATTTTATGATAAAAATAGTACTAAATTATAAGATATTTATTAAAAGTTACAATTAATTTTGTATATATAAAATATTAGAAATATATCGATAATAAAACACTATACAATATTTTTATCTTACAAAAATCTATCCAAAATTCGCTTACTTAGCATCCTATGTGTCACAATAATACCTATTTTTCGCCTACGTGGCTCGACACTTGGCGAAAAACTGGAATGCCAAGTGTCGTTATCTCGTTGCTTGGCTGCGAAACCGGCTTTATATATTAGTGATATGATATTAGATTTATAATGGTAATGATGTGGAAGAAGATTTATTGCAGGTAATTTAGTAATAATCACCTGCAAGAATTATCTAATTAAACCATTAGCATAAAAAAGACTAACTTAGGACTTTAAAATCTGATGGAAAATCCAAATCCAGATATTGAATAACCAAGCCTACCCAGGAACATAAGTTCAGACAACCACCAGCACCTCACACCTACTCTTCAGTCTTCACAATAAAGGGAGATCGAGAATGCTTGCCCATGTTTATTAACCTAGAAAATACTTGGAGATTACAGATTCATCATAAGGTAATCATACTCTAACTAGAACAAACACTGAAAAGTATGACTAGCATAGTAATCAAATACTGACATAAGGAGTTGGTGACAGGTGAGCCCAAAAAGATGTCAGAGCCAACCACCTCTCCTTGGTCCCTTCTATAAGTACCAAAGCACAATAAGCTTTCACAAAATATGAAGGTAGTCTTCAGGAGATGGTTCTCCTTTAGAAATGTAAAGAGAATCAATATTGGGTGATGGAGACCCAAAATACCATAAAATTGAGACACAACGAAAGAAATGATATCCCAATAAGTCAATTAGGATATACAAATACTGAGTATCTAATGAGAATTAGAAGTAAGAGGTGTAAAAATACATACTGGACGAAGAGGAAGTCCCATGGGGCTAAGGGAAGAATTGGTTTCTGGAACAACCCATTCTGAAGGATGATTATATTTACACGACGAACCGAATTTGTAGTCCCCTGTTTTAAGGTAATGCTGGCATTCAGGTTGCCCGGGTCTCTGAGGATATGAATGTTCCTTTGATATATTGATTGTTCCACCACCAGAAGGCGATATAGCTTGATAAGGACCAGTTACACCAGTATAAGCAGAAGGTGACATTGGCATTAAACCATAAAATTGGCCAGCTCCCACTGATTGGGTATTAGGGGCAGTCATAGGAGTAGTGCCCTGTGCCAAACATAGTGACCAAACATTTAGACACAAAATTGAACAACTGTGCAGAAAGAGTTCAAACACAATAAATGGTAACTGACCTAACCTTAAGTTGCACTGTTCAATATAATTTCTTTCAACAGCACAACTTCATTATTCATGAGAAATTTTGCTAGCATGAAACCAACTAGGTTTAACATGAACCTCTTTTAAGTTTTAAGTTTTCAACCATATACGGCATTTAATAAACTGCAGTTCCTTACAACCAATAACTACAACAATAGCATTTACAACCTGCATCAGAAATGAGTATACTCTCTAGATTATAGGAAATTCAGGACAACATACATCTTATTTCACCCAATCCACGCACAGTTATACTACGTATTTGCTGTTACTGTTATCATGAGTATGATGACGATCATATTGCAATAGTAAAGAGTTAGTACAATTACTAAGAATACCACATCTTATATCTTTCCACCATAAGAATATAACCCCCACCTTCCTTTTCCTTTCTACATCTATTTCCACTTCCCCTTTTTCAAAGCTGCTAAATTGGATGACGTAAGAGAACATGAGAGTTGATAATTCTACACTATGTTAGTTGTATCAAGAGGTCCAGGCCCAAGTTAGGCAATCATAACATTGGTCAATTGAGCCCTATCTAAGAACGTTTTAACACAGTTTTGTAGTGAAAATTTACTCTTTCATGAAAAAGAAAATCCAAGTCCAAAATTAGACAATAAATAATACAGCTGCAGGCATTAATCACATAGCTTTGCCCTTTGCTAGTGACAAAAGCGTCCTCATAAAATCAAACACCGAGATATATAGAATGTTTAAGACAATGCTTCTATAGCCAAGCAACCAAAATGATATTCACTTACTGGGTAAGGTCCCCAACTAGGAAAGGGAACTATCCCAGGAGAGATCAGCATTGGTCCGTACGGTCCTTGGATATATGAGCCTGGCAGCATAGAGGGCCTAGCAACAGGCCAATTGCCGGTCATCACTCCATACTGCTGAGGAGTGGGACCAGGAGTAGAGTAAACAGTTGGCGAAGCTAGGGCAGGAGGAACTGTGGCAGGTGCTGCCGTAGGTACCGGTACATTCGAAGGAGGTGGATGGTGAAATTTGCATGTCATCCCAAACTTGCACTGCCCTGTTTTAATGTAATAAGTACACTCTTTCTCTCCCTGCAAAATCAACAGTTATCAGGTTCCTAAAGTTTAAATCTTCATGTAGTATTAACTCTGGGAAGAATTCTAAGATTCTCACTACAACAAAAAATATAGTATACAAACCGGGCGTAAAGGGTATCCATAAATGTTCAGCGCAAACGGATTCACAGAACTAGCTCCTTGCCGTGGATGATGGTACTTACAAGAAGAGCCAAATTTGCAACTCCCAGTTCTCATAAAATACTACAATGTTTCACGAAGGAAGAGCAACATGAAACACAAAGTATAATATATGTTTATTGAAAATTTCAGGTATATCAATAACAAAAATAAATTCAGGCATATCAATAACAAAAAAAATATAAAATGTTGCATCAAAAACACGAACACAATCTATATCTCAGTTGTAATCAATGTCGAAAAAAACAATATATGTTCAAATACTTTCAATTTCGTTAACATGGATCAATGTAGTACCTGACAGATTGGCTGACCAGCTCGCTCAGGCAAGTCTCCTCCACTAACCCTTCCACTTCGTACCACCTGAACAATGTTAACATCGCACGGGTTTAAAACTTAGTTTATTTATAAATATAATAACAACGAAATCCACAAATACAGAAATTAAGCTAAGATAGATTCTCAAAACAAAATTCCATTGTTAAAAAAGTAAGGGAATAATATTGATTCCATAAAAATCCAACAAATTGTAAGATCAAATAACAACACAATCAAACAACAACAATTACATAAAATTGATATCAATAAAAATAAATAAATAAATAAAAAATTATAGATATATATATTTTCGTAATGAAATGCATTGTTTTTACCGGTGAAATAGAACGATCACGGGGATGATTAAAACGACAACGATCGGCATAACCACAAAAACCAGTCCTCAGATAATATATGCAATCGGGCTCACCGGGCCGTTCCGGGTACGATGACGACTCCTCTATCCCAAGTTGCCACATCGGTTCTACCCTTATTCGAAGACCCACAATACCATCAAAATTGATCCCACATTATATATAACCAAAATCAAATTGAAACACCCAATTAAATTGAAAATGTGATCAAATACAAAAGAATATAAGAAAGAAAAAAAAAAAAAAAAAAAAAAAAAAAAAAAAAAAAAACTGACCTTCAAGCCCGGTTTCAGGCCCATGACCCGCCTCCCAATCCGGGTTTGGATCTGAGTGGGTACCTTCCGACTCCATTGTTGCACCAGAATCCGATCGGAGAATGGTGGGAGGGAAGAGAGAGAAAGAGTGTGATTTTTTTTAGAGAGAGAAAGTGAAATACGAGGATGGTGAATTGGTGATCGTATTTATATAATGTATAATATTTCTTTTAAATTAAATATAAATTATGACTTTTTTCTCTTGTTCAACAGGTTTTGATGATGGTGAGTTTCTCTCTCTAATTTCTCTCTCTAGATGATGGGGTTATTTTTTTTCAAAGCATTTAATCTTTTTGGGGAAGTTGGCTTTTTCGACTGGGTGGTTTATATACGCGCGAAAGAAGAATAAGAGGTTTTTTTTTTTTTGTTTTTTTTTGTTTTTTGTTGTTTATTTATTGTTCAAATTAAAAAAACGTTTACGCAAAAAAATAAATTCCAATTGACTTTTGGTATTTGTTGAGGAGAGAGAAAGTTGTAATTAAATAAAAGTAATATTTAATTGCAGCCCAGAAATTTGCACGTACCATGGAGCCCAAGAAAAAAAAAATGAAAAATAAAAAACCGAAAATAAATACAAAACCGACACGCTAAAAAGGGTAGGTGTGATCTACATTAGTGGTGGCCTGGTGGGTTCTTTTGAGTTTTGAGTTGATACTTTTGTTCGATTATATTAATAACATTAACAAACTAAATAAGTACTTTAACTGCACAAGAAAGTGAAATGTAATCTTTATCTTAGATTAAATTTCTAAATTTTAATGTGTATATTGCATTATCTAATTTCACTCGTACGGGTGTAAACGATCCGAGCCAAGTCAAGCCGAATCGAGTACTATCTTGTTCATGTTTAAGTTTAATTAACTTAAGCGAGTACGAACACGATCCCGAGCTTTCAAGCGAACTCAAAAATCTGTTCAAGCTCGGCTGATTTAGTACACTATATGTTCCCGAGAGGTCCGTTTCTTAAACGAGTATTTCATGAACGAGCTTAGTAATAAACGAGTCTCTCTAATAAACGAATTTTGTACTTTTGACATTTGAAAATCTCAAAAATATCATAATAATTGTTTTGGGGTTTTCAGATGTCCTGCGGGAGAGTTACAATTCCGAGACTGGAACCGGACGCCTGTACCTGCAAAACAAACGGATGCTCCGGATGATTGGAGATCTGCCTCCGACGGTCAAGTTAGTACTTGATTAAGGAGTAATTAATGCGGAAATTAAAGTGATTGGGTCTCTCTAGGTGAGAGTGTTTAATGTGTGTAATCTGCGTTTTCTGCGTAATCTCCCTTAATGAGGATTAAGGGAGGTATTTATAACCTCGGGAAACGTGCCAATCTAGGTTTAGGTTAACCTTGGGCTGATTGGGCTTCCCTCGAAAGTTGGGCCTAGGTGACCGGTTATCCCAGGTGTCATGGGAAGGACACGTGTCGTGTCGTAATTGGTCCGTAGTGGACGGATCATTGCTTGACACGTGGCAGGCTCATATTGGCCCATGTGACGGACACATGGCGGAACCTGATTGGTCCACTTGTTAGATGGTGATTGGTGGGGAAAAATCCCCTAATCATTTGCCCCTCACAGGTGGCACGTGACTAGTCACATGTTACCTGTGACAGGTATCGCCCTGTAGCAGGCGACGACCTGCTACAGGTGTCACTCGGCGAGAGGCCGAGAGATTCTCCCGCCAAAATTTTGAATTCTGGAAGTGACCCTTCGCCTTCTTACTTCGCCTATATAAAGGAGTGTTGACTTCGGTCATTTTCACACTTGAAAACTTTGTGAGAGAACATTCGGACCCCTGAACTTGCTCTGACATTTTGGACCCTTTCTGCCTACCACCTGCTCTAACAAGCCGACTGCAAAGGATTTTCAGAACTTCATCAATCGTCACTCGTTCAGGTAACCGTCGGTTCTCTTACTCTTAATTTTCTCTTTACTTTATTCTTTTTTGAAATGGCACCACGGAAGCACACGACACGACCTAGGTTAGTGATCAGCCGGTCACCGGGGACGGCTGAATCTAGGACTAGGAGTGTCGCCTGCCCTTTTCTGGACCCATCTTTGCCCTTTATACAAAGTCCGACTGTATCTGTGTCTATGCAGAGCATGATGGCCAGAACAAAAAGGACTGCCAGGATCTCAAACTCAGACGGCTCCTCCCACAGGGTGCCGATTAGTGAAACATCTGACCAGGCGCCAGATGTGGAAGTGAAACAAAGCGGCTTGAAAGCCGACAGTTCTGAGGGAGGAGTCAAAGCGACCCCTTCCCATTTTACAGTTGACAATTCTACATTCTCTCCTGCTCCTTTTAAAGGAGAGGAGGCGAGCCCCTCCGGGAGAGGGGAGGAGTCGTCCTCTTCGGACTCGTCAGAGGACGATTCCGAGTCTAGCTCTTCTGGCCATGCTTCTCTGGACACAGAAGAGAAAAACAGTCGCCTACAAGAGGCGAGGCTTTCTCACGAAGTTGAGAAGGGGGACGATTGGGCGGAGCCATCCGCCTCTCACCGAGAGCAAAATACCCCCTACTACTGCACGGTACCTCGGGGCCGGATCACAGCCATGCAAGAGAAAGTGGAGAGCTTTATCGCAAACCACACAATGGGCCCCGACTTTTTAGTGTTCGTGCCAGATCCAGAAGACACAGTCGTCTGGCCGGCTGGTACCAGTTATGATGGCGCCTGCTTTGGCTGCTACGAGGCGGCCATCAAGGCTGGGCTGCGCTTCCCACTACATCCGGCTGTTCAGCGGATCTTGGATGGGTATGAGTTGGGGTTAAGGCAGTTAGCCCCGAACTCCTGGGTCAACGTACTCGGCTATGTGGCCGGGTGCGAACTGCACGGGGTGGAGCCGAACTTCGAGGCTTTCGCCCACATGAACTACCTCAGCCGGACCCCTAAGGCAGGCGGTACCGGCTGGTATCAATTGACGAGCCACAGGGGCTACCTCATGACGAGAGGTAAAGCAAACAAATGGAAGGACTGGCGGAGCACCTTCCTTATCATTGAGAGTTCAGACACAGAGCTGAACAAGAGCTTCAATAGGTGGAACAGGAATCCGCCCCTTCTTGCAGGCGGCCGCAGCATGCCGCCTGTTTCCCCCAAGGCTAAGAAAGAGATCCTAGATAAAGGACTCTTCAAAGTAGAGTCGAAGGTGAACTCTACTTCAGGGGTACGAGAGCAAGTACCCCTGCACTGCGTCCCGAGCTTCAAATGGCTCTACGACGAGTACTTTTTGGCCGCCTGTGGCCTCAGCAGTCGGTGCTCAAGAGGTAGCCGGCCTGTCGAATACTCTGTTGTTCCATGCATTTCTTGTTATGACTTTAATTAACTTTGTTATTTATTTTTGCAGCGGACGCCATGAGCAAAATTACCGCCTCCAAGACTGCGGCGGCCATGTTGCGGGCCTCCATCATGCAACAGTCTTCAACCGACTCCCCTAACAAGGGGGCACCCTTGGTGGGCTTCGAACCTTTCACCCTCTTTTTGGAGTTGTGTTTATGCATATACTGACTCTTTTCTTCTTTTTTAGACGGGCGCTCCAAGAGCTTCTTCTTCCCAACAGCCGGACCCCAAGGCCCGGAAGACGACTGTTGCGAGCTCTCCTGGTTCTGCCAGGAAACATGTGGCGGCTGAGAAACAGCCAGCCACTTCTTCTAAAACTCCAGCTGGGCCACCTAGAAGTATGAAATTGTCCTTGTAAATTTTAGACTTGCTCCCTCCTTTACTAGGTCTAATCCGTTTGTTTATGCTTGATGCAGCCGGCCCTCAGGAGCCTGACTTGGTCGAGGTGGCCAAGTCTATGATCAAGGCCGTTCCTCCAGCTGAAAGGGAGGCGGTCAAGGGTGTCGGCACCCTTGACCTAGACGGGATTGCAGGGGTCCTTGCTGAGGTATACTTAGCATATTTTTGAGTATTTGAATTCCAGGACGCCTGTTTTCTTTTTTGTTTGGAAACTGACGCCTGTTCCCCTTTTTACTTAGGCCCTGCTCCGAGTGAACGGCCTTCGCAAGCCGCTTGACCGGAAGAACAAAGAGGTAAAGGCTGCAAAAGCTGTGGCCGCCTCTGACTGTGATAAGGCAATGTTTCAAATTGCCCAAAATGAAGTTCTGACCATTGATATTCTTTATTATCAGGCGCAGGCTACCGCCGCTATCCGGGCTCAGTTAGAGGCGGCCCAGAAGAGGAATAGCGAGCTGGAGGCGACCATCAACAACCTCAAGGCCGAGCTGAGACCTCTTCGCCAAAAGATGTCCTCATACGAAACCTTGGAGAAATCCTTGGCGAGCGTAAAGGTACGCCTGGTGACCCAGGAGAAGAGTCTTACTCAGGAGCTCTCGGAAAAGGCCAAGCAAGAAAAGAAAGAGTTGGTCCGGGAGATGATGGAAGACTCTGCTCAAATCCAGCGCATGACTTGGGGCCGCCTCTTCCCCAATGCCGACTTTGCCTCATGGGAAAAAACGTACCGCCAGTGTTCTGATAGATATAATCAAGAGATCCTGGCGGCTGCTGAGGAAGAGGCGTTGGAGGAGGAGGAGCAGCCGGTAGTGGCGCTTGTGCCGCTTGGGGGTAATGCATCAAAGAAGGATGCAGCTGAAGCCGAGTCCAGCAAGAAGAGTGCTAACCAGGCGGCAGCTGCTAATATTGAAGATATGCCCCCTCTTAAGCTTTATGTCTTCTTTCCACGGCCTGCGTGCCGTTTGTTTGTATTTACCCGGCCAGGGGGTCGGGGTTCTGAATATTTTGCCGGTCTTTAATGACCGGCTTCTTTTTAATGAATATTTTTGTTTTGCTTCAAATTTGTTTAAGTATTGAATATTCTGATATCCAATTGTACACTATACCGACTGTTTTACATGGCCGATAGTTGCAGACAGGTACGGATAGTTAGTCACGCCGTCTATGCCCCTGGACGACTGGTTGTCTGTTTCCAGGCTAGACGATCAGTCGGCCATTTATCCAATCGATATTCGAATCATTTTAAAGACTGGATCCCCTTTAGACAGGCGGTCCTGTCATTTGTAAAATTAACCAAGTAGGAAAGTTGTTTCCTACTTGTCATGCTTTTAGGCTAGAGACTTTAGGCCGTCTAGGCCGACTGTTTCCCGCCATCTTTAATCTAGTGTGAACAGGTGCTGTATGAACACCTTTTTAGTTTCATACTAAATTTTTAAGGAGTGACCAAGTAAACATGATTGTTACCTAGTCGCCAAGTAACTGAGTAGTAGAGGTATCAAGCGGTGGGTACCGGTTGTTCCCCTTTATTCGCCAATGTTTGTTGGCTTTTAACTCATAGGTTGTTAACCTAGCAGGAGTAGTGGTTGAGAGCCCCTGTTTGCTAAAAACAGGCGGACGACTCATACCTTTTAGGCTCCATACTAAGTTTGAGAGAGTGACTATGAGTTAACTTTGGTGTTACTCAGTCGCCGTCACTCCTGCTTGAGTAGTAAAGGTACCAGGCGGCGGAGGCCGGCTGAACCTTTTGATTCGCCAATGTTTGTTGGCTATTAACTCAAGAGGTACCCCCTGCATTTATCCCAAGTAATACAGGCGGTCATCTGACTCAGATGCCAACTGCTACCACTGGTTTGGTTAGTGATAGAGTTATCCTTGTCTCAAAAACGGCTACGTGGTTGCCTTTGGGGAAAGTCGTATAGGTGCCGTGTAATTAGTTTATCGAGCAATGTTCCACCCAAAAGGGAGCTGCTCTCTGCGAAGAATTTCATCCGGAGGGATGCCGCCGGACGCCTGCTATGATGTTGGGACAGGTCGAATTAGTTTAAAGATTGGATCAGTTGGCTTGGCGCCTGGACTGATCACTCGGCTTGTGGAATTGGTTAGTTCTTGGTGAACGTAGGTGCTAAGTAAGAGGAGGGTAGCCGCCTGTTTAGGCACAGGGTCGGCTAGGCCCTGATCATTTTTAGCTAAGTATAAGGGGGGTGGCTGTGTGCTTTGGAACCAGTCGGCCCTCTTCTATGGAGAGTAGCCGACTATATATCCAGATGGCATGCCCCTATGGTGATAAGAGTAAAATATTCAATGGAGAGTAGCCGACTGTAAAGGTACAGGCGGCATGCCCCTCT